AAACATCACTCCCACGCACCCCGCTCCTGGACTGTGGTGTCTGCAGCACGGACAGACAGCGGGACAGAGCTTCTCTCTGACTTTTAGTTAGTTTTAGCTAGCTGAGGCAGAGGAGTTCCCTGGACCTTTGTTTTTTTCCAATTTTCTTGGATCTGTGCTCTGCTCTGGACTGAACACCCAGCCAAACCCCGGGAGCTCACGCCTGTGGCCCACCGGGGCCTGGGCCTCGGCACCTTTCCAGCGCCAGAGGGACTGATAAGAACCTGAGCGAGCCGAGCTGCACCACATGAAAAAAGACTTTTCTTCCTAGACTTACCATCCCATCGAACAGCAAGAGGTTTTATTATTTAATATTACTCAATTTCTGTTAAATAAACAGCTTTTTCCACTTCTCTCCACGGAATTTTTTTCCTTTTCCCGGACCCGTTGGTGGGGAGGGGCATTTCCCTGTGGAGATCCCCATTTGGAGTTTTCCTTCCTGATTTGCCCTAAACTAGGACACCATGCTAAGACAAAGACTGTGCTGAGGTTCTGAATAAAAAAGCATTATCCATAGAGTAGCTTGGTGGTGAGCTTAGCACCAGAGGTGGTGCTTTCCAAGGTGAAGTGGGCATGCCTTGTGTGTGGTTCACTGGCACATCTCTCCAATCTTCCTGCTCCAATGCATAGTTTTCAAGTTGAACTAAAACTGGGGTTAGTTGTGGAAAATGAAGAAATATGGATAGAAAAGATATTGTTTGGGATTGTTTGGGATGCTTCTCTGTTTCCTCAGACTTCACTTCCTAAAGCACTACAGAGAGCTATAAAACTCTGACCTCACATTGAAGAAACAGTTCTGCCAGTGTTACCATTTTGGGTGAGATGACTGTAATGTTATAGTTTGTGTGAAATATTATCCTCATGCTATGTGCCAGAGAAAATGGATAATTTTTTAAGAACACTTTATCACTTGAACGAAGCCTGAAAGAATATTTGAACACAATCTGCAATATTTTTTTCAAAAAGCTTTAGAATAATTTTAGAAAGGAATTATGAAGTTAAAAATTCATAACAGGAATTAATTTGTTACTATGATGGTTTTAATGTACTTTAGTAATATTTCTATTTCACTCATGTGACATCAAGAGAAAACCCATACCAAAGTTTTAATTTCCTTCATGCTACTATCATATTTGTAAAGAAGCAATATATACATGCAGAGGAGAAAAGCAACACATGTTTATATTTTAATAACAATCAGTTAAAGTCAGTACTGGATTTATATCACAAACCCTTGCAGCAAACAGCTTTGCTGTTTGAAGCAAGCTTTGTCTCTATTTGGGGAGCTCTGATTCTGAAATCATGGACTCCAGTCATTACTCCAAATACGTACTGCATAAATCTGTGAGGGCCTTTTCCTTTATAATAGAGTATTGATGATAACTCAGATTACACCAGAGAAGTAATTTCATGTTTACTACAGGAATGGAGAGCTTGCACGAATCAGTGAGCTTTGGTGCAAAGTAAATTCACTTTTAGGTTCCGAAGTAGTGATCAGTTATCTTATTGACTTCAGAAGGCAGTAGATCTGTCATACGAATAAAATTAAATTAATAAACATCTTGGAATTTTTTTTTTTCTTTCACTGTTATTTTATTTAAATGTTGATCCAAATATAGATCCACAATATGGCAATTCTGGGGTTAGTTTTGGAAAATGAACGTATGTCTGGCATCTGTTTATAAGTAAAGATACAAGACTGTAACTATGTAAGTATCATCCTCAGAGAGGCACAGAACTGGAAGTTCAGAGGAACTGAAGGCTCCTCTCCGCCCCCCTTCACCAGAAGGTAAAGCAGTAATAAAGTTCACACGCCCTGACGCACACACAGACACACACACACCCCGGTAGCAGCTGTGGACAGTGTGTTGCTCGTCCTAAAGCCCGCCACTAGAAAGCAAGTCCACGCTCTGCTAAGGAAACACGGAAACCTTTTTCTCCTAGCCGAGCGAGACTTTGTGAACGGAAAACCCTCTCTCCCGGGAACACGTCCCGCGGGGTGTGCCCGTGAGGCGGGGGCAGAGGCGGGTCAGGCCGGCGGGGGATGCTCGGCGCGGCCTGGCG